GGTACTGCCAGCACCGTCCACCGGTTTGTTCCCCTTTCCCCCTAACCAGCGACCATCATGTCTCTCCTAACGAGGGCTTCCTTCTATCGGCTTTTGTATATATATTTTATTTAGATTGAAAGATAAAAGGCAGAGTTTAAACGTCTAAATAAGAGAGTAAAAGAATTAGTTGAAGGAAAAAAGCAAGAAAGAACGGATAAGAATGATAGAAGAATATCGGATAACTTCCAGGCAAATATTAAAATGTTGTGGAAACTCGTAAGAAATACCAGGGGACATTCAAAACAGCCTAGGTTGAATGCGATACGAGACAAGAATGGCTGTATTCTGAATGATGAAGTGTTAAGTCTAAAGAGATGGAAGAAATATTTTGAAAGCGTAGTTATGAGTGAGGAGACGTGTGAATTAATTGAAATAAAAATTCCGAAAGAAGATGAAAGAGATAGGGAGATAAGTATAGATGAAATAATGAAAGCAATGAAAAGCCGGATATGATAGAGTTTCACTCGAAATGCTAAGGGCTGGAGATGGCGTAGTGACAGGCCTGCTGTACACCTTGTTTAATTTATGTGTGGAACTAAAGCGGGTACCGGGAGACTGGTGCAAAGCCGTGATAGTCCCAATATATAAGGGAAAAGGGTCACAGCAGGACTGTAAAAAGTACCGTGGTATCAGCCTTCTTAGCATTGTCGGAAAACTGTATGCTAAGGTACTAATTGAAAGAGTTATGAAAGAAACTGATGAAAAAATTTGGGATGTGCAAGCGGGATTTAGAAAGGGTGGGGGTAAGAAAGTCTTTGCATGATCTTGGAGAAGTTTTTGGCGAAAAACCAAAAAGTTTTTTGTGCGTTCATGGACTTTGAAAAGGCTTATGACAGAGTGGACAGGGATGTGATATGGCAAACGCTGAACGCATTTAGGTTGAGCGCTGGTTTAATACAGGCATTAAAGTCTCTGTATAGGGACTCGAGTGCTTGTGTTATAATCAACGGGGTCTACTCGGACTGGTTTGGCATCCATAAAGGTGTCAGACAGGGCTGTGTAGCTTCCCCGTGGCTGTTCAACCTATTTATGGACAGTTGTTTGGAAAATCTGAAAGTTGAAGAATGCGGGTTAAGAATAGGTGAGTTAACCATCAAATGCCTTTTGTAAGTAGTTACGTTGTACCAGTTCTGGCTCACTGAGTCAGAAGTGGTACAAGTACGACGTTCGTCGACTAACGATCCTAAAAAAAAAGTTTTGGCATGCTCTGATCACGAATCTGCGGTCCATTTTTGCGTAGGATGCACGGTTCCAGAGATGTGCAGATCAATTAACTGTTATCTAATTGATATCCGGTGAAGGCCTCCACCGTCATTAGCGCTCCATTGTTCTTATCTATTTATCTATTGTTCATTGAATACCGTCATTATCTATTCTTCCTCAGCGTGGTGCTATTGTATTATACTCCTTTGTTCCTAACACTAATCTGACTTATCAATAAAACACATTACCTAATTTTGTTAAAATTTTTATTTACAAAATACAAAATCTTATTACTTATTATCTATAAAATAGGAGCGAAACATCTCATCCACTAAAATATCGTTGTACAATGTGTTCCCTGTAAATATACTCGTAAAACTATGCATTGAACATCCCTGAAACTTATATAGCAAATACATTAAGCAATATTCGCCACAAACTGAAGTCCACTCATTCTGAATCCTATCAACATTCCAGTTCCATCTTTTACAATTTCTTTTTAAAAACTCTAGATGATATCGTACAGGTGCTCGTCCGAATGAATCAAAATATTGACCGACGTCATTCGTATCGATATATAAAGCTACCCAATGTGACCCTGGTTTATCATCTGTATCCAAATTGCATATTACCTAGTCAGGTCATAAATTCTATCACATGTTTAATATAAAATAATTGAAACAAGTTTATTCATTATGTGACCATTTATATACCAAAATGAACTTAACAAAACACGAATTCTTATGACACTATAGTTTATTCAAAATGACCTCCGTGATTTTGAACAGGCCTTCAATCTGCGCGGCCAGTCGTCTATCGCAGCACGAACGAGGTCCATGTCAATATCGGCGGCTGGCTTAATCAAGGATGTCTTGAGTGACTCCAAATTGGGATGAGGCTTTGAGCACGCCTTTTCCTCCAAGTGTTGCCATATCTTGTAATCTAACGGATTCAAATCTGAACTGGAGGAGGGCCAGTCTTCGTGCCGGATGAAGTCGATTTCACGCGCCGCCAGCCAGTCTTGTGTGCTCTTCGCTCTATGAGCTGGCGCCGATTCTTGTTGGAATACCCAGTCCCTGTTATTGAACATGGTATGAGACAAAGGTTACACAAGGTTCGTCAGGACTGTATTTTGATACACAACTGCATTCGTTTTTACACCTTTCTCACAAAAATGTACCTCTGTTAAGCCCCAATAAGAAACTCCCAACCATACCAAGAGCGAGGATGGAAAATGACCTCGTTGGACACGCGGAATACACCTTATCATTTTGTTTGTTGTAGCTCTCTTCTACGGTAAAAATTTTTCTATATCTATCATGTATTTTATATATTAGTATTATAATCAAAATATACACGTTATTTTAATTTTTTCTGATATATATAAGCCAAATACCGCTAACCCACTCACTCATCACGAGATCTGCAACACTATCACTACTATAAAACTACACTAACTAATAAACGATCGGAGGGAATCAGGCCAAGAGCCAATGGCGCTTGTGCTTTCCGATGCACGGGGTTGAGACACCGCTAACTTCCTTACTCCGGATTTTTGGCTCGACCCGGGTTTAGAACCCGGTACCTCTTGATCAGCAGTCGCACTACTACAGTCACTAGACCAACGAACCAGTATCATGGTTTTCGAAAAGGTACCTATACCGGTACCTATAGGGGCGATAATAAAGTGCAAGTGTTGGGAGTGTATTAACTATTTATCCAAAATTAATCACTCTGAGACCATGATAAGTTAACTAACTTTATGATGTGAGTATAGCTGCCTATTTTTAAATTGTCATAATTACAATCTTCCTTGATTACGCTTACGTTACGTTAAAAGTATCAGAATTCTGTAGAATTACTTATAGTATTTTAAGTGTTTATGCAAATTACGTGTTTCCTAACTAATACTTATATTAACGAAGTCGGATTTTTACAATACGGATTTCATCGTTCAGCTTCGTTAAAATGCATCTTGTGAAATGACGAACTTACTACTTACTATCACTCTCTGTATAACATCATCGAAGCAAGCACAATTTACATATAAAAGCATGCAAGCTATTAATAGCGATAAGAGTACAACTGAATATCAACTCGATTAATATTATATCGAATAACGAAAGCTATCACCTTGTTCGTAAAAGATTTCTTGCAGTTCACAAAACATATTTATACATTTATATTTATTTTATACAATTAGGCTGACAAGCGAGCACACAGTCCACCACATGATAAGTCGCTGCTGTGACCCTTAGACATATCCATGCAGATCAAAATTAATAAGAATAAGATCGATGACTAAGATAGCTGCTATTTTACGCTGGTATTCTGTGAGAGCGTGGTCGTATTCCGGTCAAGTCTACCAATTCGTGCTACGGTGATATTATAGCTGCAGCGTGGCTCTACCACGTAAAGTGTAAAACAATGTCCTCCAGTCCGAATTTCAGTCACAGGGACCAGACTCAACCGAGACAAGCCATCTGCACGGAACAGCATTATAGTGCCCGAGTGTATTCGTATACGCAAGCACAGGTGCACTTCCTATTACCTCACTGTCATAGTCGGGTGGGACCTTTGAGTTTAATACTCAAAGGGTGGGACGGTTATCTGACACTACCGTAAAGAGATAGAGATCAGGTACATGACCGAAAACACCGCCAACTTCGTGACTCCGGGCTGCTATTGAGAATTTCTCGACAGAATAACCAAATAACTGACTTTAGCCCGACTCAGGATTTAATCCCGGAGCTCTCCATCTATAATCGAGTTTACGACCAGAGTCCTACGCGATCAATATAAAATATATTTTGCAGAGTCAAATACATTTGTCTGTTTCTTTTCTATTAACGCGAAACTTAGGCCAAAAAAGAAGCCAAAAGAGGTCACATCTTTCTTCTTTCTTTCCTTAACATCATGTAACTACATGACGTTGGTTAAAAATAATTTTAGATCTATATGATGTGTACGTGAGTGCATGTTTTTACAATTAATTAACTATGGATTTAGTTTTTACTTTACTGGAAATATATGTAACCTAAGCTTTGTAATACCTATATTTAAAAAATGTACAATCATTAATAATTGGGAAATTGCAGTGACATGATTTATATTATACCATTTTACAAGTTTGATCTCTAACCCACAGAGTATATATTACACCTAAAACTTTTAAACTATTCGATGATAACACAAAATAAGCAATGTTACCATCGTAACTCTATAATTACTTTTCCTCGGTTTTTAAAAAGAAGCCGTTCTTATAAAAACTTATCGTAAGCATTGAAAACAATAAATATCAAGGGTAATTTTTAATTTCAACAGAAAAATCATTTCATTCATAGAATTTTGAAATCGCTTGGTTATGTCGATAATAGTGTACTTCTTGAAGTAGAAATAATTTTACCCTTGAAAAAATTTGCCGGCTTTAATATTTCCGATACATTTCTGCCACTTCCGACTAACCTTTTATGACATTCCTATAAGCGTCATCAAAATACTGCATTTCCATATTATCAAATTAACATATTATATTTAATGAAAATACAGATTTTTTAACAATAAACAGCTATGTACAAAAAATACCATGCCATATTTGCATCCTACATAATTATTCTATGCTTCCTACCTATGTGTTACATGGCACGTGTGGTATGAGGCAGGGCCAGCGTATAATTAAAAAAATGTATGATAATACTGTTTTATTTAGATAAATAGAACTTTGCGAGTTTATAAATCACTATCAACAATTTGTAATGTTATTTCATAGGTATTTGTTTATATTCCTGCCTTTGTGGTCTTAAATCAGTTCATTTAGTGCCCGCGTCTAATACTACATAATCGTATTTTGATTATATAAAACTAGCATTAGATATTAATAACTAGGTTGTTCCCGTAAAACATATGTACATCAGATTTAAAATGCAATAGCAGATATTTATACTTGAGTTATCTTATTTAATATGTAACCTTCTTTCGATTTACTTCAAGATAAATTAATACCGTTTACATGCCATATAAACTAATATTTTGATGAATCTAAATTATTAGTGAAATAATATTCTATTTAGATTTGCACAAAAATATATCGTGATTAAGTTTCACTTACTTTGTTTTCGGACTTTTAAATTTGTTGCATTAACATATTTTGTTTTGTTTGTTTCAGGGAACAATATATATTTAACGTCTTTGAAGTTATAGTAAGTACTTTGGAAACTAAACTACAAAGAATCGAAAACTTAGACAAAGCTGTAGAACACTTGATGCGTAGAGTGGAGGCAATGGATTCTCGCGTTAATGACAACATACACAAAACAGATGCCATCATATCGAAGTTGGGAAATCTTGACTTAAAATTATTTAGCCAACCTATTCCAGATGAGGTTGAATCATTTACTGAAAACATCGTGAAAAGAAAAAGTGACAACAAAGTTAATGATGCTCAACTACTTGACAGGAAGTTAGAATCCTTGGATCAAAAGGTATCAAACATAGATTCTAAATTGGTTGGTCTTAAAAATCAAATCGATAACAACTTCTTACCAGTCGATGATATTAATGCTGAAGCCAGTGAAAAGAAGCCAATTAATTTAAATGTTTTGGAAATAGCGAAAGGGCTTAATACAGAAGTTATAAAAACAATTACAAAAGAAGTCGATCAGTTGAGGACATCGATGTCCACTGTCGATCGTAAATTGCAATTTCATATAAACCTCGTTTCCGAAAATTTAGGAAAGGTGCTTTATATGATGGCGGATGTACATGCAGCAATAGTTGAACCTGACGCAGCATCTATTAATGTAAATTCTTTATTTAAAAATAGAACAGCAACAAGCACTCAATCGCCAATAACGAAAGGCAGTAAAATAGATACTCTGGTTAATAAAATTATACCCATGATGAGCGTGTCTGAGAAAATGGACGAAGTTTGGGACGTAGTTGTCGGAACTAAAAGTTCAGTTGACGACTTAGTACCAAAATCTGATGAGCTTTTAACTCAAACGCAACGACAAGAGCGAGCTATTGGACAAATTCACAATGATTTGAGGGTTAAGACAAATCTAATTATAGAGAACTTGGATATGGTGGAAAAGAGACTCAAGAAGCAAGAAGACGATGTTGCGACTCTAGCACAGCGGCCAGTCCCTGCAGAACTTCTTCTTGATCCGACAATTGATAGACTTGTTGAATACGCGCCAAATAGATACAGATACGACGAACCTTCTACAGACCCCAACACAAGTACTGTCGCAGCAACAACCCCGTCTACCTCGTCTTCCACAATTTATAACAGGTGATATCTCTCTAAATATTCATAGTGATTTTGCGAATTGTTTTTGCTAGCGATATTTCTGCATTTTTGCGAGACTTGTTGCGATTTTAGATATATGCTATTCAGTTTTGTATGGTATTGCGCTTTAAAGTTTGGTATACAGTGTCTAATGATTATGTCGCATGCAGCCTGAACAACCCGAGCAGTCCCAGTGGATCAAGCACGCCTGTTTCCATGTCAGCATCGAGCAGCAACGTTAGTGGTAACAACGGTACCTCAAGCTCAGGTCCTCGTCTCGCTAGCCGTAAAGGCGGCATCATCTTCCCCAGCGTTAAAAACAAGCCAATCATCGGCAATAATACTTTCGCTTCAGAGATCGTCGCCAACTATAAAGACGTGAAAGTGAGTCAATTTGCATAAAATATATTATTATCACTCTCTGTGACAGTTATTTAATTTAAAACACATCTATGATATACAAATAACATAAATATGCTGCTTGAGCGAATGGGACATGTTAATTAGAGATAAAATAACTCCACGTAAGGTTTTCACAAGTTTTTCTTGTGCCTAAAATAACTGTTGGTGTGATGAAACTAGTCACAAGTTTAGCAACACCTTGCGGAATATATAGAATTATAAAACTTATTACTATAATTACATATAAAATTATAACAGTTCTATTGAGGTTTAATTTGCCATTAGATATAGAAACTTGTTTTATATAATAACTTGGGAGGTTTTAATACTTCACTTAAAATTTAAATTCTGCCAAAACTACATCCTTTAACGCTCTGTGTTAATAAAATACAAGCTAACTAATTTACTTTCAAATTAATTGAATACTTAAGAACTGACTGGAGGTTAAACTTAGACAGCCAAGTGCATGTGCGAATCAGTTCATTTTGCACGTATTGGTTGATATAGCTAAACGATTCAATTTCATTCGATACAAATGCAGTAAAATTCTATTTTCGGAATTTTAATCAACTCCATTACCAGCCAGTCGCGGTAAATGCACATACCTAATTTAACAGCTACGATACACAGAACCATTTACGTCTCCTGGTTAAGCAATAAGGAACACAACTACGCAATACTTAAGTTTTCCACTTACCTAACTACAACCTGTAGTGATTTTAAGTGGAGGACACAATTAAGCATTTCAATAATTATTAGTGGAAACAAAGTCAGAAATACTAATAATTTATGATTCAATATTCTATCCGTTCTATTCGTGATCTAGGCCGTACTCTACATAAATCCCTACTTAGTTTACTGGAAAATATATACATCTTTTCCAGTCCCATTTTCACCCCTGAAAACTTAGATGAAATGCCTCGATTCCAGTAAAACGCTCTCACAGAATACCATCGTAAAATAGCAGCTTAATGTTGCTGTGTTTCGTATGGTGAGTGTACAGATCCGGTAACCCTTTTTTACTGGAAACGAGACATTCCATCTTAGTCCTCAGGGGTGACAACGCATCTTGGTTTTGATTCTTAAGGATTAATGTAGATGCCTATGGGCCACAGCATCTACTTACCAACAGGTGAACTGTGTGCTCGTTAGTCACCCTTATTCTACAAAAGAAGCCAACGAGAACAACATTACGAGAGTTTCATACTACGATAGAGTCATGTTACGTTAATCTAGTTCTTACACACTACGACAGCATTTTCCGCGAGTTTGTAACTGCAAAAACCTGCTTTTCCCACCAAACGACAATTACCAATGGGTACAGTGTTTATTGTCTTAATGTAGGTACGAGAACGTGCAGTTACGTTGAACAATGTAACGCAACATTTTATAATACATACGCATTTCGAACAGCAAATGTAATCACAAATGATTCAGAACGCGAACAGGTACCAATGCGAGAGTGTGAAGCGTTAACACTTTCAGGCGCACCGTAATATTTACAAATGCGATTCTATAATCTTTTAAACATCCAAACAATAATTTATAGTAGGAATGTAGGCCTTGCCACAGATTTTTACGCTAGGTTAACAGGAGTGATGTATGTACAGTATTTAGAATAAATATGTATATAACATATGTACACAACAATATTCAGGTACCGACTCATGGGACTAAAAATAATATATGAAGTATTTGATGTCTATCCTCCTTAAACACTTCTCTTACTGAATAAATTTAAAAAATGTGTTTAATTTTAACTTCTTTAATTCCCGACGTTACATCATCGGGCTATCAGGACGGGCCATTCCATTTATCGAAATAAGAAGTAAAGAATTAGTAATTTTTTAGTAAGTTTTTAGTAATTTGAGTAAGGAATTTTTATATTTCAATAGCCTCGCAAATCATACTTGTAATCGGTGTACTTTTGTGAGGATTTGTGGTCTTTCAAATCTGATGTAACATTTGGGATTGATCCTAACATGTTCAATTAATGAAGATTTTCCGGAGTGTCGGTGCTTAACGTCAGCAACGAGGGTCATTACTGATATTTTTGTTTGTCCTATGTAAAAGGCACCACATTCACAATCGAACTTTATACTCTTGCATCTTGTTGTGGGTAAATACACATAACGCATGGTAAGAACTGACTAATCTTCTTCGGCGGCTTTTGGTACGTTCTGATGGCAGCTCTCTTCAGGATGTAGCCAATCTTGTCTGTGACTTCTGTGACGGTAGTACAACACAGGACTCGCAAGACTATGGTCTAGTTTTACTGAAGCGTAGGTACGGAACCGGAAGTTTATTGACGTGTCGTGCAATACTTGCTTGACGTGCTGAAGTTCTTCGACCAGGTTACTACTGTTACAGATCAAAAAAAAGATCTGCCAACACTTTCACTGTCCGATTTTCACACAATATTAAGACAATAGCAATAATAATAATAATATTAATCTTTTATTCTCAGAAAAACATGTAACAAAATTTTCCATATTAAGTACGATTACAGGTATCAGTATTCTAGTAACATACTAGTAGATTATGGTTGATCGTTAGCGGCTGTACTGGTTTTATATTGAAAACTGTATTACAGACGCTAGCGCCTTCCACCGGATATGATAGAAAACAATTAGAGCAATGCCCTATTTAGTTCTACATAATATTGAATCCGCTACATATGGGGACAATAGTATAAAAGTATAAAAGAGAGGGATGGAATTGCGAGTGTACACGTAGAAGTTTGTAAATGTGTATGTATGTGTGTGTGTGTGTGTGTGTGTGTGTGTGTGTGTGTGTGTGTGTGTGTGGCGTGCGTGCGTGCGTGCTTGCGTGCGTGCGTGTGTGTGTATGTGTGTGTGTGTGTGTGTGTGTGTGTGTGTGTGTGTGTGTGGTGGAGAGAGAGAGAGTATTAATGTGTGCATAATAAACCCTGCCCTATTTTAAACATCTTGGGATTGGTTGTGCCAAAGACAGCAGCCCTCACTAATTATGTGATGAGTGTTATGACTTTTTCATGAGATGTGGTTTAGTTAGTTCTATATTCTTCTATATCTTCGTATGATAGCCGCTGCAACCACTGCTTCAGTTCCTGTTTACACTTTCTTGCGGTAGCTTTATGGATATTTTCTTTATTAATTCTATTGTAAACATGACTACTTCAGACATAGTATTATCTGCGCGCTAAAGTGATTCTGTGGGGGAGGTGCTCACATACACGGTATTCCAGTATTCGACTTACTTTTTGTGCACAATGCTCCAGTGGGAGCGTGCGATGTCTACGAAGTACCATTTGAAGTATGTAGAGTTGCCTGGTTGTGAGCACCTCACAGTCTTTATATAGTTGGGTAGTAGGGTCACGGTAATGCTTTTTAGTCATGACCTTTAATACAGCTCTCTGTGCATGCTCCAATTTTAGAAAATGGGGCATGCCCCTCCCCATAAAGGGATGCAATTAGTCAGAATAGACGGAGCCAGCGCAAAATAGACTAATTTCAAGGTTTTCGAGTCCGTCGCATTCCTCAATTTTTTAAAAACTGAAATAATTTTTCGAACCCGGGATGTCATGTTATCTCTTTGGTAGGTGTCCAGGTAAGGAAGGTAACTACTGTCGAGTATAATTCCCAGATATTTTATGTTATCCGTCTGTTCTATTGCCATGCATCCGCAGTTTGCATTTATCGAATCACAGTGGTGAATTTTGATGTAGGAAGGATCAGGTTTAGGTTGTGTTGACTTAGATGCAGAAAAGGTAATATACTTGGTCTTGTCAATATTTAAGGTTAGCAGATTGTCACAGAGCCAGTTTGATACAACACGCAGGGCCTCTTCCATTCGACATCGAGAACTCTCCGGTGTCTCAGGTTTGGTCGTGTGCCAAGAGAACAGTGTCATCTGCGTACGTGATGATGCGAGAATTCGGAATAGTCAAGCGGTAGAGACTGTTTATATAAACCTGAAACAGTGTCGGTCCTAGCACACTGCCTTGAGGGACTCCACAGGAAAGATATTTATCATCACTAAGAAAAGAATCTATTTTGACATATTGTCTGCGTTCTGATGTCTGTCTGTCTGAATCTTATGCCAATTTCATTCAGTTTTTGAAGTAGCAATGAACTATATGTAGTAAGTACACGGTACATCGAAAGGGTTAATACTCTCTTAATCAACGATTCCTGTGATAGCTAACAGTGCAAGATAACGGTTTAAATATCGGTTAGTATGGATCGTTTTTAAACATAGTATGAACTAACTTTAAAAATTATAAAGGAATCTCAAGCGAAATATGGTAAGAAGTAAGTCACAATAACTGCGATAAAAACGAATTGGGTATGTGTTACTCTCGTCACGGAAAATTGCGTCATAGTGATTCAATTTAATCAAGATTCATGATGATGTTATGCGCTATGTGCAAAAATCAATTATTTTCTCTTTTTTTCTATTACGACGTTGTCACAGAAGTTATAAACAGCAATAAAACAATTACGGTCGTAATCACTGTCGGTAGCGTATTGTATTGAGAACTAATTTAAAGTATTAGGTAGGTACATAGCTTTGTGTAAGTTTGTAAATGTAATCTACTCGACAATTGGTCGCTTTGCCATCAAGTCATTGTCATACATCTATTTTATCGTCACTAAATATTCTATTAAGTAATATCTAAAATTAATTACATCTTTCAAAATCAACAATTTTTTTGCATTACTATACCTACAAAATGTCGTGAAATACCTATGTAATCTAAGAACAAGGAAAATAAAATCTATAAAAGTGTATATATTATATCAAAAATATTGAAATTTAAAAAAAAACTAGTTCTCAATCTTAGGACTGAAAGTCATATTGCTGTTTTAGCTAGTTGCGATATAATAAGGTCAAAACTTGCGACACGGCTTTAGCTATGGCCTAAGGAAAAGTCTTATACTGGTTCAATCATCAAATCAGAATACCAGTGTAAAATAGTACCGTAATGCCTCTGTGTGTAGTAAGGTGAGTGTAGAGAACCGGAGACCCTTTTTACTGGAAACGAGGCATTCCATCTTAGTCCTCACGGGTAACAACGCATTTGCATTTTGATTCGTAATCGAGGACAATACCCACGGGACGATATCGGGGGAGGGGTAGTGGATATTCTTAGAACGCCACTACATTTGCGCACAATTTCACAAGATTATCGCCCGCAAGCTGTAATTGGATTATCTATGGTCCTGACTCGTCAAACTATAATTATAGTTCTCCCCAACTATGCTATCATCGTCGTTGGTACTCATGTGCATACATGGCATTAGCCAGTTATTAATTGGCAGCAGAAAGAGAGTTACGGAGAGAAATATATCCGAGGAACTGTGGCGTTAGTCATCATAAGTCATAATAGATCTTCAACGACTCGAACAAAGCTTTCACTCAAAAAAAACAGTCGAAATTAACCCAGCTGATCGAATAAGTTTTTTTTTTAAATTGTTATTCTAAGCCCGCACTTAACTACAAACCCACCTGATGGTAAGTGGTGATGTGGCCTAAGTTGACGAAGCGCACTGGCTCAACAAAAAGCTTAATCATTGTAATACACTGTAATCGGATGGAAACACAGATGCTGGAAACTTATTCCACTCCACTTTCACTTTTTAACACAAAATAAATACTAAAAATACCCGGCTCACGTTGCAGAATTTGAACTCGCGCGCTTCCACTATAACCATTACTATAACCATTGGGCTAAAGCGAAGCTGATACTGGCGGCGAAATTACCAATAATATAGCGCACTGAAATTCTTTGCAATGTGCATTAAAACGCGGAGAAAACGAATTTTTAAAAAAAATGGCAGCTAGCTAGATAGATTTTTAGCCAACGTAAACCTCTGAATTGTAAACCTCATAGAAAAAATTACAGACGTTTTCGAGAACGTAATTTTAACAAATATATGAATAATATTGATTATATAGTAGTTTGGGCTATATAAAGAACGCATAATAACAATTACATAGAAGGCTACTTTCACCGCCAAAAAATGGCAGCTAAAGTGACTCAGTGGGGAACGGCAACTCAATTTTGGTATTCTGCTTCTACTTCATTCAACCCCAATAATCAAAAAGTTTACTGAAAAGAGAAAAATTACAATGTTAACGTCACATCCACCATGACTACACCCAACATGTTAAAATTGCTATATATATTTTCGTTTAGGGTGTAAATCGTGAAAAGAAATAAAAATAAATAATGCACTCGAAAAAAAAATTTATAAATATTACAGCCTATATACGTCCCACAACTAGGTAGGCCTCCTCTCATTTCTGAGAGGATTCGAAAAACACCCAACTCAAAATTATCCCCTCATTTTGAGTGGGGTGTTTTTCATTGGTGGTTTCAGTTTCAGGGTGTTTCTACATCCTCGCACCTGATGAAAATATCTAGTCATATACAATAACATTCAAAAATAGCAATGTTCTGTGTTCATAATCAATTCACTATGTATTGACATGTATGCAATATTATTTTCTCCTGTATTCCCACAGCTGAAAGTTGGTTTATATGAAGATTGCCTAAACCTTTAAAATTGATGTACAAATTCCAACAGTTTATTATAGACAGTCGACGAAATTAGAGTTTCTCGGGCTAGTTAAACACTACAAGTTTCATATTTAACGTATGAGTGTTATTAATGTCTATTTATCTATTATCGTAGTAAGCCGTATGTTAAAAAACTGGTATGCCTACACACTTAAATGTCACCCAAAGATAAAATTGCAAGACCCAATTGCTGTGTTCCTTAAAATAATTATAGATTTTTTGCGCTTTACTATCAAGGAAGTGTTCTTATGTCATTGTGTATAATTATGTATATGCTTATTAAAACTTCTAAATATCATTTTGAACGCTTCGCGAACGAATATTGAAATAGCTTAGATATTACAAAGCCATTGCGAACGAACAGCTTTGCGTGAGATTTGTTTTGTCTAGTGTATATATATTAAGCCGAACGCAGGTTTGAACGCAGTGTCCTGTCTACAATAGACTTAATATGCATTTTCAGGGTTTCTCGTGTGTCGACCTTCTAAATGGAGGAATGCGGGAATCTGGAGTATACTATCTTCAAATTAGAGGCACTTCTTACTGGTTCCTTAAGGTGTTTTGCGAACAAAACGTTGCGGACGGGGGTTGGACAGTAAGTTAATAAATAAAATTGTTATGTAATAATTTAGTTTTAGATAACAATCAACAATCATAAGTGAGGATTAAGTGTTCCTTGAATAAAATAGACCAGAAAACTGTTAATCTTCGATTTCACTGTCCTCTTTATTCTTCGTTTTATGGTAGTGGTTACAAAAATAATGGCTATTTCATTTTATAAAGGAGGGAATAAAAATATTTACAGGGTTATGTTGCAATAACCGGCCAAATTTGCAGAGAAAGTTCAAAATAAGTAATATATATAATAGGCAAATGGTGAAAGAAATTTAATTAAAGAAAATCTCACATTCTGTCCTTTTTATCTTTTAAATTCAAAATGCGTGGTAATGCGTTATTAAAACTGATTTTACTGCGCACGCACACATTTGTAAGGTTAATCGAATTCAATTTGGGATAATTTCAAATAAAAGTAGATGCCTTACTTACTATTTTTATTATATTAAATTGGAGGTTGATATATTATATAACAGCATTAAGTCCGCCTTTTTGTACTTGATGGGCAAATAAATCATAAATAAATACAAATCATAAAGTCATCATTAGCGAACACGAACCGAATGTGTAGTGTTGAACAGACTACCCACAGATTGACACAAAGCACTGTGCTTTTACACCTGCATCTGTCAGCTCCTTATTTCGTCAGGTCTCCTCTAGGTTCTAAATGAACTCGTCATCTAGAATCTTTACTACTATTAGATTTTTTTTAATAATATGTGGTCTATTTATGATATTTATAATTACTTACTAAAGTAATTATTTAGTTTAAGTATTTATATAAGTACTTAATTTAATAAATTATTAATAACTGTTCCTGGTATAACTAGTTTTGAAAAACTTTTTTGAGTGTAGTAACAAAAAAGAACGCTACTCGCTCAGCTAAGCTTAATTAGTTTTCATTTACCGTCAAATAAAGCTCCATTGATACCAAATGTGCATTATAAAAACATTTTGCAGCTCTCTTAGTAGAGTAGATGGACAATTGTTTTAGCCGACTTACAAAAAAGGAGAAGGTTCACAATTCGACTGTGTTTTTGTTAATTGTTCAGACTACATTAAGAATTTTTTTCTTAGTCCACTCAATACCAGTATAAACGAAAATCCGCCTTCAAGTACTAAAAGAAATAAAATAATTTCACGATCTAAAGTTGTTCTATTCACTACGTCTTAACAGTGACTTCAGAATGTTAAATTATTTTTGAATTCTTTAAAGTCGGTTACTATTTTTATATTAAAGGTCTTTTTTTAATAATAGAGATATTTCAAAATGAGATTTATATCTCAAACATTTAAAAAAAAAAACAGGTGATCCATCGACGCGATGACTATGGGGTCCCAGCGGAAAATTTCAATCGCGACTGGAGCGATTATAAAAATGGTTTTGGTGATCCAAACAAAGAGTTCTGGCTCGGCAACGAGAACATCTACATGCTCACTAATAATGACGACTATATGCTAAGAGTGGAACTGGAAGACTTCGATGGCAATAAGAGGTAATAACAACTTTTTGATCATGTAATTGTTTTTTCATTGTAAAACGAAATAAAATTATTTATTTTTTCATTCTTCCATCTTCTACACCATTACTACTGTTGACTTCACCATAAAAAGTTATTTTTATAGAGAATTTTAAATTAGCGCCTTTTTATTTTCGAGTACAATTTGCTAACGGATCAAACAAGTTATGTTTATTGAAAGGCTATGAAAAATGAAGGCTACACAAAAGAAGGGATTTATCAGCAAAACAATTAAGACAATTAAGTACGAATTAAATGTTTAACAGGTATTCGTGGTAGAGCCATGCTGCAGTTATATTGGGAGTATAGTTGTAGCACGAATGGGTCGGCTCGACCGGGGAAGGACTACGCTCTCACAGAATAACAACGTAAAATAGTAGCTGTAGTGTTTCGTATGGTGAGCGTAGAGAACCGGAGACCATTTTAACTGAAAAAGAGGCATTCCCATTTTGATTCGTAATCGAGTATAGATGTAGATGTCTATGGGCCACAGCAACCACTTACCGTCAGGTAGACTGTGTGCTCGTTTGTCACACTGTCCTATAAAAAACATTCGATTACTTTCTATGAAGTGAAAGATAGTTAGTCTTATGCCCAAATACTCAAACGCTACTTAATTCTAAGATGCCGTTAAGAACCTATACTACCTCAAATGGCTTAGCATGATCCTTCGTTATGTCGATGGTAAAGTTGAGCATTCATGTTAAGTACTATGTTAGACGAAAACACGATTTCGTAACATTTTCTCGATAGAAAAAAAAACCAAAGTTATTTCCAAACCGAACAATAAACCGCTGGTATTCACAAATTACTTTAAATTAGATCATGAAACTTTGCATACTAACTGAACAAACTATAAAGCTGACCTTTTTTTAATTTTTTTTAATTAACATATTTTCACCGTAAAAAGAAATTACCTAAACTATCGGCGTCCTGAACCTTGTTCCCTGCCGCCCGTAGTGATGCCAACTTAGCAACTTTATGAATAGAAACTACCTATATTTGGTGACAGACAGCTACAATTTCATGAAATTTGTAGCTAAACATTTTAGCTACTTTTTCTAGCAACTTTTCATTTCATCATGAGACGAGATTCATAGAGTAGGGTACCGAGTCTCGAAAGAAAAAAGAAAAACTAAACGCGAATCTATGGTCATCTTAGACCATTCAACCCAATGAACGAGTAATACGCCTAATGCTACGAACAAAATAGTCTGTCACTTTTGGTGTGGGGGAGGAAACACTACATAGACAGTACTGCACACCTACTCAATAACATTTTGTGTCAATATGGCACACACAAATCTAAATCTCCACACTATTACATTTTATGCACACATATAGGTTAAATACATCAACATAGCAAAAGTTATGAGTAGTAGTAAGACAGACTAATTGTTACTTACTAACCAAAATAGTACGCGTAAATAGACAGATTACTTACTAAACCAAAATAGTACGCGTTACTCGTATTCTTTCTACCTTGTGTTGTTTTATTTTATCCATATAAAACTAATGCTCGCTGTTTTAATTTTAATTGAAAATGGATTTAACTTTATATATATATATATATATATATATATATATAAATCGGCCACTGGAGACTCAAGCAAAGCATTTTGTACATATTGTTCTAAGGAAATTCTAAACCAAGATATAAGTATATAAGTATAACTCTTGCTTTAACTTGCCTTTAACTGTCACTCTCACTTATTCTCTCAAATTAATTTAGTAAAAATAAGCAAAGAAACTGAATTACTATATATAACTTAATCCTTTGCATTAGAAACTCCCTCAGCAAAAATGGTAAATGCTGCTATTACTGTGTTTTGCTTAAAGATGTACTGCATAAAATGGGCACCGCTAAAAATATTCTAAATTAACGTCGAAAGACACTGAACCCCAACCATCTACATCTTCTTATTTGATTGATTAATTCTTATTAATCTGTCTCGCGAGCGACGCGTCGCGCGAAATGAGCACAGAGCAACGTAATGTTTCAGATCCGAATGAAGCATTTGAAACATTACTGAACCAATCTTTTGAATCACTTCAGTGATTCGGATCCGTGAGTCGGTTTCGTAAAGAGTTACACTTACACACGTGACATATGCAGTAATCTATGTCTCAGTCTAATCGGTAGAATCACTAGTTAGTCTCTGCTCAGCCTCGCTTCGGATTTCTAACGGGAAAGCTGTATCGCTTGCGCTCGGAATACACATTACGCAACAGGACGACGTAAAATTAAAATGGGAAATAACCGTAATAAAAATAAGAAGCGACTGGGTTGGCGTTAAGAAACAGGCAAAACTATGATAAACCTAATGAAATAGGTAGCTACCGACCACCGATCTACTTACAGTAGTAGTGATTACAAACATGTAGGTAGATAGTAGTGATGCAACGGAAGTGTCTTATGGGAAACAGAAACGGAAACAGATGTTAAAAATATTTTTTGCAGAAACGGATGCGGAAACGGAAATAATACTTATTATAAAATTACAAATAAAACTTTTAATTAATATTCAAAATTAAGTAGCGGTAAATTATATTTTATGAAAAGTAGTTCGGCCGTTTTTACATCTAACAATCTGTTCCAGTGTTCTTCATATATTATAAGTCCAGCTCCGATAAATAATTGCTCACTGGCGATGCTGCGTCCCACCTATATATACACCAAAGCTAAGTAGGCACTGAAATTTGGACAAACCCTTTAAATAGCCATATTTAAGTTTAGCGAGTAGTTAATTTAGTACAGCCCTAGCACGAAAGTACGACGTAAATAAACTTTGAATCCCAAATACTCATTAAAGTTTCTTTAAAAATAATTAATATTATATATTCAAGTAAAAAATAAATAATATACCTAAACTTCAAGCAATCATAACTGCTACCTAATTAATTTGTAAATCTAAGTTGTAACAAAGGCATTTATTAAAAACTATTTTTAACTGGAGAAAACACGTTTTAACTAAAATCTAGTTTTAACTATAACATAGGAATACATTTTATAAATAAATAGGTATGCAATGACCATTTGTTTTTTAGTTTGCGATGAAAGTTTTACAGTTTCAACTACTTCTCAAACTCTGCAAACTCGGCGTTTAGGATGGCTCTTTAAAGCGACAGTTGTGCAGCCTTTTCACGAGTATATTTTGTCACATAATTTATATCTGGCTACTAAATCATCAATCTCAACGAAATAGTTCTAAACAGGACTTATTTTTGACTTCATGATTGTAATTAAATTACACACACGACTTAAATTTCTAATTAACTAAAAATACAATACCTAAATATATTTATATGGATGTGTCGCTGAGTTCCGTTCAAAATTCCGTTATAAAACTTGCGGAAACAGCAGCAGAAACGGATGTTAAAAACACCATGCAGAACTTCCGCAGTTACGGAAACAGAAACAAAGTACTGTTGCATCACTAGTAGATAGCATACGACGCGTGGAAAAGTGGGGACAAAATTAGAATTTGTGCTGAGGTTGTATAGGCTCTTAAGTCTCGTGGTAGTTCTATCGCTTTAAATCAAGTGACTGTGAGACTACGAGACTTAACCACATCTTAAAATTGAGTAGCGTTTGATATTTGGGTCTTAATCGACCCATTCTTGAATCGATTATATGCAAAGAGCAACGAGTATCTTCTTTTAACACTTTTGTCTGTCTGCAATATGCACCATAAATTGGGTCCAAACTGCGAAAGGCTCCTTTATATTGTAGGTTTTATGATAAAATAAATTATTTTGAATATGAATAATTTATGAGCAAATTATTTTGAATGATTTATGTTATAGGTCTGTTAATAAATACAATGAGTATAATAGTCAGTTTACATTGTTATATTTTATTGTGCATTACTTTCCTATATTATAATATTATTAATTATTCAACAGATATGCACAGTATTCGCACTTCAAAATATATTCAGAAGCGGAATACTACAAACTAGAAATTGACGGATACGAGGGCAATGCAGGCGATTCCCTAAACGATCCCTGGTACGGGTCTAACAACAGTCCCTTCTCTACTTACAACAGGTAAAATATAATATGTGTACCGTGGTGGCTTGATGAATCCATCAATCCATCTCATTCTGTTAGTGTATTTAGAGACGATAAAGAGAAATGGCCGTTATACTGTTTATCCAATCCGATTTAAAGTAATACGTAGTATGAGTTTTGTTAAATTTGGTGGTTATCTAAAATTAATTAATTAATAGTTAATGCGTGAAAAAGTCGGAAGAACAATCAAGACTGAATTTCGATTATCTATCCCATCACGCGTTCCGATTTTCCCACCTTAGGGTGGACAAATGGAATAAATGGATATACCCGGAAAATCACGTGACCTCCAATTGGTGGCGTACATCATCTTTTAGTTAAAGCAGAGGCAACATACTAACCTAGATCTGTATCTGGAAGAAGCGTGGAAGGGTGGTCACAGGGACGGCTTTAATATATTCGCCAGTCGGTCGGCAGATTACGATTACCCGATTCCTGATAATAGTAGTAGAAATTTTCCAAACAATTTATAGACTGCTAAGTAGGTAAGGATATATGAATATTTATTATGTAATAAGAATAAACTACGTTCTCCATCTAGCTACACAAACTGTACAAGATCGTGAATATGGTAGAGCCATGCTGCACTTATATTATTATGGTTGTAGCACGAATGGGTCGATTCGACCGGGGAACGACCACGCTCTAACATAACACCAACGTAAAAGAGCAGCTTATGCTGCTGTTACGTATGGTGAGTGTAAAGAATCAGAGAACCTTTTTAGGCCTTTCGGAGCATTCCATCTTCGTCGTATCTATGGACCAAAGTATTCTGTAAAAAAAATGTACATATAAACACGAACCTCACTAAACATTACAATCTAATTATATCATAGATATAGGAACAACTAGAATTTCAGCAGCAAGAGGACAATAATTAGTCTCCAAATTCGTAAACCATCAATTAACACTAACAAAAATTGGCTCTGATTGGAATATTAGTTTCAAACTCATGACAATTTATTTTAAAAATAAAGTAAGAACGTACAGTCCGTAAGAATAATGAATAGGATTAGAAATGGTGTCTCGTCGAGCACGTACCGTCAACATACACAGTACCAATAGCAAAAAACCGCTAATAACGGAATATTCTTATAACGTTATATTATTTAGTTAATTTAGATAAAAATATTTGAGGACTTGTATACGCAAGTAGGTATATTAATTTTAAAATAACCTTTATAACGAGCCGCTCTGGCTTCTCTTGGGTTTCCATCTATTAATGCAGCGTTATTTAGACTTAAGATACTTATTAAAGACCATTTTTTTATCTTATTAATATTTATATTTTAATAAAGTCTCTAAATTTTTAAAATATAAAATATGGTCTCTCCTGGTATTAGTCTCTATTTGTTTATGGAATTTTAGAATCGATTCGGCCATTTCGAAGATTAGCTCGGACAGACAGACAAATGAGTTTAAAAAATGGTTACTTCTCATGGTCTCAATAGAATATAAACAATTTATACAAAAATATTAACAGACAAAATCAACAATAATTATAAAAAAAACTCTTAGACGTCCTGGCTCGCAATTTAGAGAAAGAAGAATTTTTTTTTTTGTATTTTATGATATTATGTTACCATTGAATCTAATGACAAGTTAGACAGTTCTGAAGTTATAGAACGTACGAAAAACGCAAATCGCAATGTAATTTTATTTCAGTCTTAACCGGCGGGTGTGAGTATAGATAGCGACATGTGCGAGTGAGAGGAGAATAGAGGCTACGCCATTTGCAATCCCATTCTTTATCAAACATTGTATCTTTCATCCCGTTAAATATTGATATTGAATTACAGAGACAACGACAGATCATCCTTGAATTGCGCATCGATGCTTAAGGGCGGCTGGTGGTGGAAATCGTGTGGACGCGGCCTCAATGGCCTCTATCTCCATGACCCGCAAGATCTGACCGCCCGACAAGGTATAATTGAGTCGTTACGTCATCATCAATAAATTAAATTACTTTCTTTTGGTAGTGTTTTAATACTTGATCGATTTTGAATTTCAAGTCAAATTAGATTTGTAGTATTTAAATAAGATGATCATTTGGCTACAATTTTTTTATTTATTATTACATTTACATTATATTTCCATACAATTTCCATAGCTATGGCTTTTTAGACAAATCTTAAAAATGATTACAACGTTACCGTTACTTTGCAGTTTAACGAATAGGGTTAATTTGTACCTGAGGGAGTATGATGTCAGGTATGTCATATCGATTTGTCTTTAAATCGGCATCAGGCATAAAATATTTGTGCTCGCCACTGACTTCTATAACAAACAACAGTTTGATTTCTTCAAACTTTTGTATGTTTGACTAACCGTGCATGAATAAAATGGCGGACACATTTTGTCAATTTTTGGGGTGGTTTAAGCGGAAAAACGCTATATGCATATATTGATTTGCAACAAACTTAAATGTGATTTTTTAAGAAATGTAACCATAAATCAATCTCTCTAAATTTTGTCAATAAAAGATCAGAAAATATTACGCAAAATAAGATATAAATTTGAAATAAATTACAGGTATAGTGTGGTTCCGCTGGCGAGGTTGGGACTACACACTAAAACGGGCCTCCATGATGATCAAACCAAGAGGACTTCAACCAAATACGTGAAGCGGCCTCTTAAGTACCGCGTCTATTTAATAACTCAGCCTCTGTTCAATCATTATGTGGAATCGTAAACTATTTATTATTTCAGATTGATTAATGTTTCATAAAATCGATAAACTTATCTGTGAATGTCACAGACAATGATTCCACCGTAGGATTCTAAAAAGCATGTACACTATATATATATTGGTTTCTTGTAATCTCTATCTGTTCAAAACTCTTTTACTCACGTTCAACGTTAGTACATCAACAAATTAGTTAATACTTTTTCCGCCGCACCACGCTAGTAGATATCCATGTTTGCTCAATTTATTGATTACATTTATTTAAAAAAAAACTATTGCACATTTAAATGAAAGCAAAAAAATAAGGAAAATTTAAACATTTATTGACATTTATCACTACAAAGCCACAGACAGATTAAAAATACACGAATCCATGTAATGACGAAGAACATCGCAGGCAATCTATCAATCAACATGTTTTAAGATTACTCACAAAGCCGTCCTGTAAATAATGAATCCATCGACCACTCCTCATAACATTCTCAAAGCATTGTCTTCGTCCCCTACTTGTGTCAATATTAGTATATCTTTAATTGTAAATAACTGTGTTCTGCTATTTAGACCATGTGCCACAACACTCTAAATTCATTAATTTATTAATCATATCTTTACACATGAAAATTTTTCGTTAATTAGGTTTACGATTATAATTATAAGTTTAAATTGTAATAAGGTGTAAATAATTATGTCTACCTTTAGATTGCTTGATGAGGTGTAAATGAAGTAACAGTTAAGCTACGAACTCTTTCGTCCAAATTGACGGAGGCTACTATTTATTATATTATATAAATTTAAAAAACTATTTATGTAATTCGCTATAACTGCGACATACGAACTTTACTAGACTAACTATATACGTGTATATGTTTAGTATGAAATTATATTCTTAAAACTAATGCTTACCACTGAGCTAATAAGATATTTTATGAAGCACCTGATAAGTACCTGATAAGTACCTGGCAGGCTTCATTCTAAAAATGATGCAATATTTATAATTATAAGCAACAATACAGTAAATTACGTCTATAATTAAACAGGCTTAGACAAATCGTAAATGCGTACATACTTTTACATATTTTAAATATTTTAATGATTTTATACTGCCAGTAGTTATAATATGTCAAGAATTTGTACAATATATTTTCAAGCAATTACTCAAAACATTTTTAGCTCAACAAATTAGAAATTTAAAAGATATCATTTTTGAATAGTTGCTTGACAAAACACGTATACAGGTTTTGCAAAATACATATACTCTAATAATTACAAAGCTACGTTTTATATCTGTATTTTATTTATCCTATATTACCCTAGATTTTTAAATTTTATTTATAGTAATTTCTCGTAAAATATTTGATTTATAATCCAAACATTTACATAATCAATTTAAGACATTGTTTATTTAACAATAACATATTTTACTCTGGCTGTTCGGAACTACTATCCGGTTTTTTCATTTCGTTATTATCAGGGACCTCCTTATTCTCTAAGAAATCTTGTAACATATAATCATTCATTTCCAACAAGTTATTAGCAAGAAAATCATGATCATCAACAATGTTATCATCCAGTATACTATCAGGGTAAAAACCATCTTTAAAAAAGTCATCTGTGTCCATAACACTGGTAAAATTATCATCAACGGTACCTTGTGTGCTCGTTGCCGGCAGCTGTGGCTCTATAGTTTGTTGTACAAGATCATCAGGTTCACAATAAATTGAATTTAAATCAGACAATGTATAATTCATGCTCTCAGCCACAGGCACCGCTTGGGAAGAGCTGGGTTGGGAGACACGGCGGGAAGAGCGAACGCGCTCTACGCGCGTGCCTCCCCACAGTTCGTGTTATACTTTCATTTTCTTCGTACCCTTCTTCGAAGCGCGCTCCTTAGCCTTCTCCAGTAGCGGCATCAGCATTTTTTCCTCGGCTAATATTTTCAAAAGCATTATTATAAACGGCAAATAATTATGTCGCCTACGTATCATCTCTTGTTGGTATCTGGCCATTTTTAAATCTTCATATTCAATCAACATTCTAAGTCTTTGTATTTCATTTTCCATGTCATCAGTCTCCATAGTCAACATTTGCGCCTCTTGTAACTGACGTTCATAAATCATTTTTCTGTCCGATACCAAAGCCATCAAATTAAAGTGGATTTCCCCTTCAGTATACCTAAAAATAAACATTTTTTTAAAGTAAATAGCAATTTTCGAAGAAAATAACATTTACCATTTTAAATTGCCCTTTTAATATAATTTCTGAAATGAAATAAACGAGAATGCCGAATCAATGTAAATAAAACAAAACCAGAAAAAGTGTTGGAGAAATCTACTTATAAAATTTTGTTTTATATTTCATTTAAGAAATATAACTGTGTAATGCGTTACATGTTTGTAAGTTCTATTTGCCGTAAAGTAGCACCATAACAGAAGTGTTTAGTTGATATCAAAATAGAAGTAGAAAAAGAACGAAAAATGTCATGTTATCTGACAGATAGAGGAATAACAATTTTAACAAGATCCACCAAATACAAACAGATGAAAGCTGATTTTAAAATCAGGCATTTTTACTGCAGATGCTGTGATATTTTCTTATTAATCAGATTATAGCAATTGCTTCCAAATAAGAAAACGCTGCTAGGCTGTACATGATGCTAAACACATCACATAAGTTAAAGAACGAAATGAAAACTGTTACATTTCGATTTTTTGGACATATACAACATGTAACATAATTAACGCACTTTGAGAAAGTAGTTTGTTCAGAATCGTTTACTGAATCGATTCCTATCATTTTCAATATAGGTAATTTTTTATCCCAAAAATAATTAAAACTACGTAAATTACAGTCACTCTAAATCTGTGCAGTCAAAACAAACTGAAATGGACCATAACTTAAGGCAATAAGACTTTTAAGAGTGCAGTTTTATTTGTATTATTACTAATTCTGTCATTAAATAAAAATAAAGAAAAATTAACTTTATTTCAAGCAAGTTAAATTCTTTGCGTTCGTGGAATTGTACTGTGACCACAACATTCTTCCGGAATTAGTATAACTAATTTGATAAATAATCAGTGCATAAAAATGTTTAACTAAAAATTCAGTGTATGTATTATGATTATAACATAATATACTAATTGGGGTGTCTGAGGGTGTGCGTTAATTACGTTACATATTGTATAAATTACTATTTTTGAAAATTTTGAAAATTAGAATAAATAAAATAAATATATAAAAAGAATAGAAATGTATAAAATATAAAAATTAATTAGAAGACATATATAAAATAATAATAAATAGAGAAATTAAGTATTTGAGGAATACAAATTTTGAAAAATTTTACAAAAGATTCGCGCCGCGGCCAGAGTTGCTCATGGTTAATATTTATTACAAACTAGCTTCTGCCCGCGACTTGTCCGCGTGGAATAGTTACTTTGGGCTAACGTTAACTTTAAAAAACTTTAAAATATTTTTAAATAATACGTACGGAGCTATTTTAGAACCTATATCACGCTTTTATCAGTAAGAGTGGAACGTTAAAACGTTAGACGTAAAAATACTGGGTCTTATAATCTTATATCATATAGATTATAGGTTTTTCTCAAAAAAAAAAACTCAAAACGAATGTTATTTTAAAGTATTTCAGCGTACACTATATTTTTAGTTTTGTTTTCTTCTGGCAGAAGTAGATATTGATTTTCACCAGTACCAGATCTCGGTAGGGCAACATATAGTTATTTGCCCGTGCTAAAAACACTCTTGGCATAAATCTATTCCTACAAGTTACTACTATTTACTACCACCAGTTACCACTATTATGCACAGGGGCAAACATTTAAGCACGTAGCACGTACGTTGTTTAAAATATGTTTGCAAAAACGCTAGTTGTGCACCTTCAGCCGGAAGTAAATTACCGATCAAATGATAAACTTGCCCCTGCACTTTAAATGTGAGCATAAAGTTCCCCTTTCGAATTTCTTTGCCACCAAATGAAGTCATCTGTTTAAAAGTGTATTATATTGCCCTAAATGGTTCGAGAAATGTCTTGATGAAGGATGTGGTCCTGATATATATCAGTTCCTTTAAAACTGATGTTGGTTGGGCAATTTTAGGTATATTTATTTTGCCACCACTACAACACAGGCCAGGAACTTCAGCCTTCCATTTCTTTCAACATCATTTAGCACAAAATAGTCAAGGTAAAGTCATAAGCAAAAGCAGAATTCAATGAGCTGTGAGGCTACAAATTCAAAATCTATATTCTAAAAAATTTGATAGTACTACAAATTCAAGTACCAGAACCCAGTGACGGAGAGCAGCTTAAGAGGTCCGAAATATCGGCTACTGCGATCGATAAACTACATACCAATAATCAACATAATTACAGTTAATCGTCCCTTCAATGAGCTAAGCCCGTGTCTTGAGAATGTATTGATTGTGTAAGATGACCTCGGCAAGTTGCTGTTGGCCGTGATAGAATAACTAGAACAGTTTTAACAACATCGCATGTCATTATTTTTAATTCTAAAATGCACTGCGAGTGTCACAGAAAATTTATCACGGCATTTCATCCTTTTCTTATTGAAAATGTCAACAAAGATAAATGTTAATATCTTACACGTTGATTCTTTTCATTATAATAGGCCGCACTACATCAAGCCAATCCTGTTCAGGAGCTATAGGTCCATGGTCAATAGGGCCGTCACGTAAACCATCGAGTTCATAAAGTCGACCATCTATTGGCATATAGCCAATAAAATGATATGCATCATCATCCTGGAAATATTAAATTATAACAGTCATTTTGTTTAACATCGTCAATTATACTAACATGCAAGGAAAAAAGAGTATATCTTACTTTAGATGCCACTTTGGGATCAAACTCGAAAAGAGGTTGTTGAGCCATGGAATTATGAGCAGTTCGGATTGTTTGAGAGTTACTAAGAGTAAGTCCTCTCATTTTGGGATCAAAAGACATACTGAACTCTTTCAATTTGCTCAGTTCAGGGCCAAGATCTACATCTGGATGGTTGCAATTCAAAAGAAGACTAATGACAGCTTGTGTGGCACATGCATTGTTAATAACCTGTAAGTAAATAATTAACAAAGTTATTAGATTAATCAGGGATCGCTTATTAAAAATCTATTACGAATAGTATATCTCCTACTACATGTCAAATATAAAGCAGTTTTTCAAATAAATTAATTTTTCCGGAATAACAATATGTCATTTTGCAGATACCTACTTCATTTTATATTTCAGAGCAAGAGCCCGTGAAACCCAGACCCAGAGCTTCGTCATTTTATAAAAGCTGAAAGTTTATCAGCGCATGCTCCCAACACGGGTAAAAACGATGGGCCATTATGAAGTTCGGGTTACAGTAGCTTTGGCAGGAAAACGGTACTAAAGGTATCTAAAATACACATCTAAATTCATCAAATAATAGTGCGATTTTTTGGTATTACCTTCAGAATATTATTAAAAATCACGTTATTCATTGCCAGACACTTAAAATCGTGGCAACCCCTTGCCAGACACCCTTAATTTTCATGAAATTTCAATTTTACTTACGTTATAGTATTAAAGCTGATTTTTATATATAATACTTGGGTAATAAGTAAATAATGTTTACTCATTAGCCAGAAATTTTTGATAGTTCCAACCCCTTGCCAGACAAACATTGTAAATCTTAAGAAGAGATTCGTGATTAGAATGACTTATGCAAATAAACCTTTTGTTAAAAAATTTAATTTATTCCGTCAATAACGGGATATTATAGAGCAGTGATTCCCAAAGTAGTCTATATCGACCCCTAGGAGTCTATGACAACCTGCAAGGGGTCTACGTCAGCGAAAAAAATTTGGGGGTCCATGAAATGAAAATGGGGGTCCACGAAAGTGGATCTCAACACATACACTGATAGTACCTATTTACTTACATCATACTATCTTATAATATCAAAACATATACATTATTTATAAAAGTACCTATGAAGTAAAAAATTTACTATATATGTTTATAAAATTGTGTAAGTTGTAGGATGTTGGTATTCGCTTTGTGGTCGCAATACATTTTGAACTTGTAAAAACCCGAGAGTCGCAGCCTCAGAGCTTCGCTAACTTGAATTGACTTGTTCAATTCGTCACTCTATAAATACGAATGTGGGACAAATACGTTTATTCGTTTCCTGAATCTTTAAAAGGAAAGTGCTAAGAAAATATTTTACAAAATATAAACAGATAGTATATCACACAAATTATAGTGAGTCAGTGTTATTTTGTTTGAGAGTGCTGGAAAAAAGTAAGTACATTATTTTTTTATTAAATTTTAGTTTTGTACTCGTAGTTAGCAAAGATAGATAAATTACGCCAATCATGACTTTAGTTATTAGTAGTTTAATATTCAATCATGCAAAATTACACGAGTACTCCTCAATAGTTTCTTTTTGAAAGTTTTAGCAATCGGTATTATAATTACAGTGCAATCTCCGTAATTCGAGCTATTTGTTGCAAGAAGATGTTTGAATTATGGAAAGTTTTCGGAAAAATCAAAAAATATTTTTAATATACAGCTGCTGGATTTTCTGTCTTATTTAAATAATTTAATTTTGCCCACAGAATCTAAAAAGAAATGTAGACAGTACAGTGTCGATTATTTGAAATTTGGCTTCATTCCATCATTGCCGGACAAACAATTGCCTATGTGCCTTTTATGCAACAAAGTTTTGGGCAATGACGCTATGAAACCATCTAAACTGCAAGATCATCTGAGAAGATGCCACCCTGATAAAACAGAGAAAGATTTGAAATACTTTCAAACGCTCAAAGATAAACTTCAGAAGAGACCTACACTGGACAGAATGTTCGCTTCGACGTCACAAAGAAATGATGATGGTTTGCGGGCGTCTTACAATATCTCATTACTAATAGCAAAATCCGGAAAACCGCATACTATCGGAGAGAAGATAATTTTGCCAGCCGTTGAAGAGGTTTTAAAAACTGTTTTACACAAACCTGCATCTGATATCATTAAAAGAATTCCCTTAAGCAACAACACTGTTGAAAGACGTATTGATGAAATGAGTTCTGACATTGAAAGCTTCTTATGTAATTATTTGCAAACGACCCATTTCTCTATACAACTGGCCGAGTCAACTTTACCTGATAATGCGGCATTATTATTGGCATATGTTCATTGTATTATGAATCAAGAAATCTACGAAGAACTGCTCTTCGCAAGATCTTTGATAACAGACACTAAAGATGAATCAATATTTCATGTTTTGAAGGATTACTTCATTGAAAAAACAATTCCTTTATCAAATATAATATCAGTAGCTACAGATGGAGCACCTGTCATGGTTGGACGTTATCGTGGATTTATAAGCTATTTAAAACAAAATGTGTCAGGGGTGTTAGCAATACATTGCGTCATCCATCGACAACATTTAGTTGTTAAAAATTTGAGTGTTAGATTGCATGAATCACTTCATTTAGTCATTGATGCAGTAAACCGAATCCGAAGCAACACGTTGAATACGCGGTTATTTGCGGAGTTGTGTGAAGAAAATGACGAACACTTTCATCAATTACTCCTTCACACTGAAGTACGCTGCCTGTCGAAAGGCTTATGTTTGACAAGATTTTTTGCACTTTTTGGGAATATTTTAGAATTTTTGGATACTAAAGATATAATTTTAAAAGAAAATTTAATGAAGAGGAAAACAGACATCGCCTATTTAACAGATCTGTTTACAAAATTTAATATGGTTAATTTGCAATTACAAGGCGACAGTTTAAATTTTCAGCGTTTCTTGCCAGAGTTAAACTAATGAAGCCAAATATTGGACGGGGCGAATTTTCTCAGTTCCCCAATTTGTCACAGACAAGCTGCCAGGAAGACGACGTTTCAACTTACGTTCAACATTTAAATGCCCTCTATTCAGATTTTGAATCTAGGTTTGAGGATATTTCGACTATGGTAATACCACCGTGGATAATTAATCCATATGATGACATAGAAGAAACGAATGTCATAATACAAGAGGATCTGACTGAACTAAGTACAAACGAAGAACTTAAGGTTCAGTTTAAAAACGGATATCAGCAATTCTGGCTGCAAAACAACATACCCGTTACTTATCCCATATTATGGAATATAGCGAGGAAATTTTTAATTTCCTTTCCATCGTCATACCTAGTGGAAAGGGGGTTACTAATCTCCTAACGAAAAAAAGAAACAGACTGGACTTCATTAGCCGAGGAGATTTAAGATTAACCCTTACAAAATTGACGCCAAATGTTGATAACATAAAAACATAAACACTCACGCCTGTCACCCAGAGGGGTAGGCAAAGACTACAGACTTCCATTTGGCACGATCCTGACACACCTCTCTTGCCTCCTTCACATCCATACACCTACGCATACATGCTCGTCGGTTAAGGGTACTCCTAATTTGGCCCGTTTTCAATAAATCGCCAATTCGGTCGATAAATTTTCGCCTAGGACGTCCCTTTCCGACTCTGCCATTCACTTCTGCACCATAAATTTTCTTTGTCACTCTTTCCTCATTCATTCTTTCCACATGACCAAACCACCGAAGCATTCCTTTCTTAATCCTGCTCACAACATCATCTTGCAAACCACACTCTTCTCTTATTACACAATTTCTTACCCTGTCATTCAGATTCAGCCCTAACATACTCCTTAACGACCGCATTTCTACTGCGTTTATTCTACTGTCGTGCTTCTTCTTCCACACCCAACTTTCACTACCATACGTTAAAGTAGGGACCAACACAGCATTGTGAATTGCCATACGTGCCTTTTTCGACACATTTTGACTCGTGCAAGGCCCCATTTACTCTATTTCCCGCATTCACTCGTCGTTCTATATCCTTATCATATCTCCCATCCCTACTAAATACGCAGCCCAAATATAAAAACTCATCTACTTGCTCGATCAACTCCCCTTCTATTCTTATTTCACAAATCGTTTTACTTTCTTCTCTTTCAAAAACCATAACCTTCGTCTTACTTGCGTTCACTTTCATACCCCTTTCTTTTAATGATCCGTTCATTAATGTAACCATCATTTGCAACTCGGCCGCCGACGACGCAAGAATAACTTGATCATCGGCGTACAAAAGGCATTTGACGGTTAACTCACCCATTCTTAATCCGCATTCTTCAACTTTCAAATTTTGCAAACAACTGTCCATAAATAGGTTGAACAGTCACGGGGAAACCACACAGCCCTGTCTGACACCTTTATGGATGTCAAACCAGTCCGAGTAGATCAAGATAGATAGTCCCCGTTGATCCTAACACAAGCACTAGAGTCCCTATAAAGAGACTCCAATGCCTGTATCAAGCCAGCGCTCAACCCTAATGAGTTCAGTGTTTGCCATAGTAAATCCCTATCCACTCTGTCATAGGCCTTTTCCAAGTCCATGAACGCACAAAAAACCTTTCGATTTTTGGCCAGAAACTACTGCGCGATCATGCGCATGGAAAAGACTTGATCTGTTCATCCCATTCCCTTTCTAAATCCCGCTTGCACATCCCAAATTTTTCCATCAGTTTCTTTCAACGCTAAGAAGGCTGATGCCACGGTAGTTTTTACAGTCCTGCTGCGACCCTCTTCCTTTATATACTGGGACCATCACGGCTTTGCACCAGTCTACCGGTACCCGCTTCAGTTCCCAGCATAAATTAAACAAGGTGTGCAGCAGGCCTGCCACCACTTCCTCTCCAGCCCTTAGCATTTCAAGTGAAACTCTATCATATCCGGCAGCCTTACCTGCTTTCATGCTTTTCATTGCTTTCATTATTTCATCTATACTTATCTCGCTACCTCTTTCCTCTTCTTTCGGTGTTTCTACTTCACTTAGTACACACGTTGTCTCCTCACTCATAAACACGCTTTCAAAATATTCCTTCCATTCTTTAAACTCAAAACTTCATCATTCAGAATATAACCATTCTCGTCTCTTATAGCATTCATCATAGGCTGTTTTGAATGTCCCCTGGCAGTTCTTACAAGTTTCCAGAACATTTTAATATTTGCCTGGAAGTTATCCG